TAGCCCTCGTTGCACACACAAATATCCGGTCGATCACAGTGACTATTCCGTCGACAAGGCCTCAAACATTGTGGCTCACATTGGTCCGTTCCATTGCGCTGATATCCTGGCAGACATTCACAGCGTTCTGGTTGCACGCACTGCTCGTTGGCTCCACATGCTGAGCAGTGGGGCTTGCACAGACCCTCCGCATCCTCTATATAACCCACAATGCATTCGCATTGATTGGGTTTGCCGCACTGCTGGTATCGCCCGCAATTCATTTGGCAGACGGGCTCACAGTTGCTGGCATTCAGCTTGGATCTCTGATAGCCGTGCAAGCAGCTGCATTTACCAGGTTTGTGGCAAATGGTATGGCTGCCACAATTACTGTCGCATTGGGGTCGGCAACGCGTTCTGTTCCCATGTACTACCTCCATGTTAAAGCCGGCACGACAAACACATTGGGGCGTTTCCTTCTCACGGCCCACACAATCCGCATGGAGACTGCACTTGGGCTCACAGATGGGTTTGCATTTCCCTGACCGTTCAACCTGTTAGCATATCAAATTCCTAAATACTTCACAAGTTGCAAAGAATATTCTATTGAGATTACATACCACTACATCATAGAAACCTTCCTCCCGATCTCTGGTAGTCATCGACCCAGTTGCATCCCATAGACTATGCGTCACTAGCCTCCTCATCGGCCTATTCCTGGCCACCAATTCGGGCAAGCAAGGAGCTTTTGTCGTATTTTGACCTAAAGTCCACTCCAATTGGATCAGGAGCAGGCATAATGGAACAAGTACACGCTCATATCCTACGGCAACTCCAGACATTTCCAACGATATATAAAATTCAACAATACTTTCATTCCAAGCTCAATAAGCAACTGATTCACAACCTTTGATTGCATAGCTTATGTAGATTTTTTAAATATATTATTTAACCGCAAACATTATAAATACTTTTTATATGGCTTGCAAATATCGGCAGAGATTAGGAATGAATTAGCAAATGAAGCAAGCCTATATTTAAACCTCCCGCAGAATGTAAGATAATTTCAATGAAATGATTTGCTTAAAATTCAATTTACACCAACTGCATTAGAAAATTGTGTAATATATTTTAGTTTATAAATAACTATAATATAATTATAAACATTCATGTTATCATAGTCCCCTTATGATCTTTGGATACACATAATTATGTTGATATACATAATTATTTTAGAGCATAGATCTCCAATTCACATTGACTTATCATTTACAATGTATATGCCATTTTCTTGCTTTATAAATAGGTTGAGTTTTTAGCTTGGTGTCATATATATATACATTTATATAGGGAATGCTCTGTGCTGTGCTAACTCTGATAAGCGAAATCTTGAAGTGCATTTGTTATATTCAATGTTAAGGACCGCTGCTTGACTTCAGGCCATATCACAAGAAAAACAAAAAGGAATGCACGCCTGCTTTGCGAGTAAGATGAGGTCGTTGTTTTGGCCACTGAGGGTTCAACAAACGTATCATATATAGAAACATGCATATATACGGAGAGAGAGAGAGAGAGAAGCCTGATAAGCTTTGGCACAAGCGCATGTCTGGTCTGAACTGTCTGTAATAAAAATCTCATTTGTCAGTTCATTTGTTAATTGTTCATTAAAGCGAATGGTGTTGCGTTATCCCAGAATTTTGAAAGTAGAAAGTGAAAAATGTTGCGACTACTCATAATATGCTTGATCAGCTCGCTGTTGATTTGCCTGCAAATCGATGCCTGTACCGAACGTGTGCCGTAAGCCCTAGTCGATTTTCATAAAGATATTCTTGATCTACTTCAATATCCATTTGTGCAGAATCATGAAAATGAAAGTGAGTCTCGTGACCATGCGCAAATATCAAGGATTTACCAACTGCACTACCGACTGTGGTCCTCTGGTTGTGCGACCTATCAAAGAGGTGTGTTCAAAGTGAAGTTACGAAGTGTAGTGCGAAAGCAAAGACAGAATGAAATATACATATATATCTAAATTGATCCAAATAGTGAATATTTATAAATTAGAATATTATATATTTTTAAAATTGCATATTTTTCAAAATATTCCATTCTTGTTTAGTGTATGCATTTTTTCTTAGCTCTATCACTACCTCTCTATCTATACTGTCGTTCTCATTCTCTGACTTTATCTTTTTCTCTCACTCTCATTCTATATTATCTCTACGACTCTCTTTTATATAAGACCTACATGTCATTGGAGGACGTTTGCTGTGTGGGCTACGAGCGCAAGGAGGAAAAGTAAGTAGAGTCTTAGGACGCACTTGGAACTTACCTTGAGTAAATCTCTCTCTCTCTCTCTCTCTGTCTCTCTCTTTCTCTTTCTTTTTCCTTCGCCAGCGGCGAGTGCTTGCCCAAGTGTCATGATTGTGGCGCAAATGGCAAATGCCTCTCGCCCGAGGTGTGCCTCTGTGGTCAGGGCTACAGCAATCATGCGAATCGCAGCATTTGCCAGCCCGTCTGCAGTGAGCCCTGCGTGAACGGCACTTGCGTGGCTCCGGATATTTGCCAGTGCGCCACTAACTATCGGTTGCGCAACAACAGTCTATCGGTTTGCCAGCCCGTTTGCAAGACCAGCGAATGCACAAACGGCGTCTGCCAGGAGGACGGATCCTGCCAGTGTCGGCGTGGCTATCGCCGCAACGCGACACTGGACAAGTGTGTGCCCGACTGCCCGAATCTGGCGGAGCACAGCGATTGCATTGCACCCAATGAACAGCGCTGTCGCGCGGGCTACGAGGGCCACTGGGATCAGGAGCAGAACTATCGCTGCGAGCCCATCTGCAGCAGCGGCTGTCGCAACGGCAGGTGCCTGGAGCCCGAGCACTGTGCCTGCAATGTGGGCTTCGGCCACGTCGGCAATCGCATGAGTGCGGGCTGTGAGCCCATTTGCCAGCCGGCGTGCATCAATGGCACCTGCGCCGCCCCGAATCATTGCCTCTGCCAGCCCGGACATGTCCCAATGAACGCCAGCCATCACATTTGCACGCCCAGCTGCCGGCAGGGCTGCGAGAATGGCGTCTGCAATGCGCCCGGCGAATGTGTTTGCAACGAGGGCTACAGGAAGCTGACGCCGCATCGTTGCACGGCCAGCTGTGATCCGCCGTGCGGCCTCAATGCCCGTTGCACGGCGCCGGACACCTGCAGCTGTGACGAGGGCTTCGTCCCGGTGAATGGCAGCAACACTCAGTGCGAGCCGTTCTGCAGCAAGGAGTGCTACAATGGCATCTGCAGCAATCCCGAGGTCTGCACCTGCCTCAACGGCTACGAGGCGATCTCGTCCTACTATTGTGTGGCCAAATGCCGTCGCTCCTGTGTCTTTGGCAGCTGTGTGGCGCCCGATAAGTGTCGCTGCTTCAATGGGCACCGGCCCAGCGCTCGGGATCCGTTCGTCTGTGAGCCCATCTGCAGTGAGCCGTGCGGCCACGGGCGTTGCATTGCTCCGGAGATATGCGAATGTGAGCCGGGCTATGCGAAGCGTTGGCCCAGCGGCTCCTGTGAGCCCTATTGCAGCCAGAAGTGCATCAATAGTCGCTGTGAAGGCGGCACCGGCCGCTGTCGCTGCTACGAGGGCTACCGTCTGCGCGAGGGCTCCAGTTCCATCTGTGACCCGATCTGCTCGCCCAGCTGCAACAACGGCACCTGTGTGGAGCCCAACAGCTGTGAGTGCTGGCCGGGCTACGAGGACACCAAGCTCTACTACGAGTGCAAGCCCAGCTGCCGGCCGAGCTGCCAGAATGGGCGTTGCGTGGCGCCGGGTCGCTGTGAGTGCAATGCGGGATTTGTGGCCAGCAACGCGAGTGAGCCGCATCTGTGTCGCTCCCAGTGCCAGGAGCGCTGCATCAATGCCGAGTGCCTGCGTCCAAATGAGTGCATCTGCCTGGCCGGCTACAGTTTCATAGCCAACAGCCGCAGCGAATGCGCCCCCGACTGCAGCCAGCCCTGTGACGAGGACAGCGTGTGCGTGGCACCCGAGATTTGCGAGCGGCGTACGTACCGTGCTCTTAGCGTGGACGGATCGGGTGGCTACCCCAAGTGGAGCATGCTCTGCCTAGCCTTGCTGCTCTGTCTCCTGCTACTAATGCTACCCATGATCCTGACGCGTGAGTACCTGCAGCGGCGTAAGTCGAGAAAGGACAAACAGCGCGTTCACCTGATCGAGAATCCCAGCTATGGTGTTTGCTTGGCGGCCAGCGAGGAGCTGCCTGCGGATCAACAGATTGGATTAGGCGATTGAGTCAACAACTACTAATCGATAACATATGTTTTTAAAGCCAATCGATCATTTACCATGCTGCAGCTGTTTACATCACATATTCGTTTCATAGCTCTCGTTTTTATACATATATACACACTTTTTATATAATCTATATTATGCTAAATTTGACATAGCACTTTTCGATAACTTGCAAGTTCTAATGACCGTTAGCTTATAATCGATAGCACATATGCTTATATCATCGATCATTCAGCAGCACATGTATGTAAATTAATATTGTATCACACAAAATAACTGTTTTCAGACGATAACATACGTTTTTATATAATCAATAACTGTTGTTACTGTTAATTATTTAATACTTTATATATCTTACAGCA